CCCGCCGCGCACTGCTGTCGGGTGGGCGGCCTATGGTGCAGCCAGCAGGCGCTCAGATTCACATCTGCACGAGTTCAACCCAAAGCAGATTTGCACATATCGTCTTCCATCATGTGACTTTTCACGAGGAGGCAGCCCGCCCACACACATCCGCACCGCATGCGCTGATGCACGGAGATGAGTAGACTTCTGAGTCGCCGGCTGAGTCGTGATGGTCGGCACCTTGACCAGCGCGGCCAGACTTTCCTTGTGCTCGGCGGCGGGCACCTGGCACAGCAGCTCACCGCGTTCGTATTTACGCGCGCCGCGCTCACCGCCTTTGTGCGGTCGGCCGCCGACCAATGAAAACTAAGCCATAAGCAGCCGACAGCCGGCGTGTTGTGGAGACAGAACACGAGCATAACCTGTCCTGTTCTTGCTGCATTGTTCATGTTCATCAATTTTAGACTGCTGTGCTGCTGTTTAAATCACACAAACAGGTTGCAGTGCTTTACGCTGTCCCTCTACCTGCTGGAGGGAAAATTTGTATAAGTGTCGCAGGAGTGTTCATTTTTCTCGGTTTTTCGATAGACAGCCACCAGCCACTGCAAGACCACTGACTTCAAAACTACATTGTTTAAAGTTAGGAACTGATCGACATCAGCGGAACTGTTACGTTGATACGTATGCGTCATTCCTTGATGTTGTTAAGCTTTGCTATTCAAGTTCTTTGTGACTCTTGAAACTGAAATTTTTTTGACCTTTAATCCCATTTATACTGAAGTTATAGGATTGTTGTTATGGAAGCATTGAGGAATTAGGCAACACCTTCTCAAAAGTTGCTAATCTTTCAACCTTTTGTTTCAGTGATGGAACTTCAATGTGACATATGTTTCAACCAATATGACCTGACGGTCCACCGTCCGAAGAATCTGCCCTGTGGTCATTCCATCTGTAATGAATGTGTGCAAAATCCAGCCTTGGGGGGAAAGTGTCCGGTTTGCAGGAAGGTCAGTACTTACAGCAAAAGGCGGCAACAATCTCAGTAGCTAAATACGTAATAATATAATATCTACTGTACTTGTACGGTACCTTTGTATGGCTCAGCCAGCACATATCATTTTCATCTTCTTCAGAAAAAACAAGGTATATTACTTTACAGTGCATTGTGCTTTAAATAAAGCATATTTAGATATTTATTCCTAGCAAAAAAAAAACTTGTGTGTAACTCAGGTAGCAGAGCTACGCCTAAAATGTTAATTTCTGGCACATCTATGCTTCAAAAATGCTTGAAAATCGCTCGAAAATAGCAGGCTTTTCTATCGGGGATCGTGTAGGTTCTTGCAATACTTGCGTGTGATCTTAAAGTTATGTTCTCACAGGACCTGAACGCTGACCCCGCCGACATCCCGGACAGCATCCTAGCGATCCGCCTGATAGAACACAACGGCGTTCCTCCTCGCAAGAATCCCAGGACAGAGGAAACAGAGGTCCAGCAGCTGCGGCAGGGCGTGGAGGCAGGGCGGAAAGTGGTGGAGGTGCTGGTGCTGCGGCTGGTGGTGCCCCGGGCCGTGGAGGCCCTCAACCGTCAGCTGGACTCGTCGGTCGCCCAGCTCCGCCAGGTGGAGGAGGCCCTGGAGAGGCAGGTGCAGCGGGGGGCGGCGGGCGGTGAGGGCAGCGCCCCGGTGGGGGAGCAGCTGCACCTGGCGGTGCAGCTGGAGGACAACCTGCGCCCGCTCACGGCCAAGAAGTGTAGCGTCGTGGCGGAGGAGGAGGACGGCGCCACCTGGAGGGCTTGCGCGGAGCTCGGAGGGTTTGGCGACATCCTGAGGCTTCTGCTGCTGCCGCTGCGGGCGGACGGCCAGCTGGAGAAGGTAGGCCACCAGGCAGACGGACCCGATGTTGGTCCCCTCTATGTGTCGGGTATTTTGCTCATATCCGCTCTGTATTCTCCAGGTCGACGTCGCCCCTTGTTTTGTCCAACCAGGAGATTTCGTGGGACCGCCAATCATCTCTGTTCTACGGACAACTGAAAATGATTTTAAAGATGGCCGCCTAAAGATTAATGACATTCTTCAAGACAGACAACGATGGAGGCACACACGCAGCCTCAAGATTTTTCACGGCGCTGCTGGTCTGGAGGAGCTGCTGAGCGTCGTTGCTCCACACCTGGAGGAGCTGGTGATCGGGAAGCCGGTGCAACCGAGCGTGATGGTGGAGGTGGAAAAAATGAAGTCCATCAAAAGACTGGGCGTAACATGCGAATCAGACTTGGACTACCCGGACCTTCCCTTGCAGCTCGAGGAGCTCGGGATGTGGCATCCAGGAGAAAACCAGTTACGGTGTGTTGAGCGGATGGCCCGGCTGCGCAGCCTGCAGGTGATAGACTACCTTGGTCCGGAAATGAACTTTGCTCCCTCGTAGCATGGGGCCCTGCGGTGGCTCAGCTTGTGCTTCTGCGTAACTCGCAAGAACACCATGCTGTCGCTGATCCGCGCCTACGCCTCATCAGCGCAGGAGCTCCAGATATTCTGTAGCGTCAGTGAGGATTATGATAATAAATCCTCCTACTTCCCCGATCTCGGCGAGGAGCTGGCGGCGTGCGGCCTGCTTGCACTGCGACGGCTCGTCCTCGAACGTCCACCAGACGACCCTTGCTCGGACCATGTCGCGGGCTGCCTGCTGCAGTGTCGGACCATCGGCAGCTACCTGCCTTCTCACGTTCAAGTGGTCTGCGAAATGTGTTACATATCTGTGCTCTAGGGGTGGCTGCGTGAAGTGAACTTCTTACCTGTTTTTTTAACGTTAGGGTGCCTAAAATGGCGAGCAAACGTTTACCATGTCGTTCGTTATGCATACCGTCTTGAATTTATCCTTTTGTACAAATGATCTAAAAAAGTAATGCCCATTTTGGAAACTACTTTTTCCGGGTGGTTCTAATGTTTAACTTTGTGATTCTCAAAAATAAAGGGAGTACTACTGTAAAGGTGTACATTTCTTTTAAATACATTACCTGATTGCCTAGATGCAGCCGCTAATGTGTCAGTCGGCCCCAGCGGAAGTCACTTTGGGTGGGGCGGCCTGCCCGTTGGAGCACCCAGGGTGGAGGTGTTGTGTGACTGTAACACCTTGGCCATGGTGCAGACGGCCTCAGTAGACCAACTCCAGGCTAGGCTGCGCACACCTGCAGCTGCAGGTGGCCGGTTCGGAACTGCTGCGTCCCGAGCGCCTAGGGGGTAGGCAGCCCGTGGGCGTCGCCGTGTGGCGGGCTGGCCCAGCCAGCCGGGCGTCCGCCAAGTAAGGCCCATGAGAGTCTTATCTCGGGTACTACTATGCGTAAACTACGGGTACTCTCGGGTAGAACTATGCGCTCTACGGTCCTTCATTTGTCAGAGCGACCGTAAAGGTTCAAAGCAACGAGCGTGCTTTCTTTCACGCCGTCACCAGAGCTGTTGTGCCGCTGAGACCGAGAGCTCCTTCCTAGAACCTCGGCCGGCCGCCTGCTCGGTAGACACGCCCGCCGCGCACTGCTGTCGGGTGGGCGGCCTATGGTGCAGCCAGCAGGCGCTCAGATTCACATCTGCACGAGTTCAACCCAAAGCAGATTTGCATATATCGTCTCCCATCATGTGACTTTTCACGAGGAAGCAGTCCGCCCACACACATCCGCATGCGCTGACGCATGGCCAAAGTAAAACTGTGAAAATGAATGTGAAGTTTGTGTGACGCCCTGCATCGGCAACGGTATTTACGGCACATGAGTTGATATGTGAGTCGCCGGCTGAGTCGTGATGGTCGGCGCCTGCTTGACCAGCGCGGCCAGACTCTCCTTCAGCTCAGCGGCGGCCGGCACTTGGCACATCAGCTCACTGCGTTCGTCCTTACGCGCGCCGCGCCCACCGCCTTGTGCGGCCGGCCGCCGGCCAATGAAAACTAAGCGATAAGCAGCCGACAGCCGGCATGTTGTGCAGAAAGAACACAACACGAGCATAACCTGTCCTGTTTGCTGCATTGTTTATGTTCATCAATTTTAGACTTTCGTGCTGCTGTCTAAATCACAGAAACAGGTTGCAGTGCTTTACGCTGTCCCTCTACCTGCTGGAGGGAAAATTTGTATAAGTGTCGCAGAAGTGTTCATTTTTCTCGTTTCGATAGACATAGCCACTGCAAGACCACTGTCTTTAAAGCTTCACTGTCTAAATAATTTAGGAACTGATCGACATCAGCGGAACTGGTACGTTGATACGTATGCGTCATTACTTGATGTTGATAAGCTTTGCTTTTGGAATTCTTTGTGAATCTCAAAACTGAATTTTTTTTTACCCTGTTAATCCCATTTATGCTGAGCTGAAGTCATAGGATTGTGGTTATGTAAGCATTGAGGAAACAGGCAACACATCTTCGCAAAGTGTGCTAATCTTTCACCCTTTTGTTTCAGTGATGGAACTGCAGTGTGACATATGTTTCAACCGTTATGACCTGACAGACCACCGTCCTAAGAATCTGCCCTGTGGTCATACCATCTGTAATGAATGTGTGCAAAATCCAGCCTTGGGGGGAAAGTGTCCAGTTTGCAGGAAGGTCAGTAAAAGGCCGCAACAATCTCAGTGGCTAAATACGTAATGCTATGATGTCTACTGTACTTGTTTGGTACCTTTGTATGGCTCGGCCAGTTCATATCATTTTTATCTCATTTAGAAAATACAAGGTACATTAGTTACAGTGCTTTGTGCTTTAAATAAAGCATATGTAGATATTTATTCCCAGCAAAAAAAAATTGTGTATAGCTCAGGTAGCAGAGCCACGCCTACAATGTACATTTCTGGCACATCTATGCTTGAAAAAAGCTTGAAAATTGCTCGTAAATAGCAGGTTTTGCTATCGGGGATCGCGTAGGTTCTTGCAATACTTGCGTGTGATCATAAAGTTATGTTCTCACAGGACCTGAACGCTGACCCCGCTGACATCCCGGACAGCATCCTAGCGATCCGCCTGATTGAAACCGACGGCGCGCCTCCTCACAAGAAGCCTTGGACAGGGGAGACAGAGGTCCAGCAGCTGCGGCGGGGCGTGGAGGC